AGTCCTATTTCTGGTAGCGACTGCATGTAAATCTGCTCTCTCACTCCCTGAGTGCATATATGTTGAATAGTGAGAGCCAATGACTCTGAGCAACCCTACAATAACAAACCAGTGTATCTAGCTCAGTATTCATTTGTGTTCTTGGAGCAGCCACTGAGTCATAACAAATCAGTGTTTGTATATGCAAGGGAAGAAAAACAAATTCAGTGGCATTTAAAAAAAAGCAAATTTAAGACATGATAAATGGTGAGGAAAAAACAAACAAAAGCTAGAAGATAATTTGTTATTGTCCTTTAGTTTACATTGTACTGAGATAAACATATATTCAGGAAAACTGGAGTTTTCCATAATGTTATAGAAAAACAGGTTTGTAGCCAGTTGTGGTAATTTCATCACCACTATTGGAATAACAATCGTGGGTAATGGAAAAAAATGTAATCTCAACTGTCCTAGCAGAGGAATAAAGATGACATTGTCCTAACATTAAATTGCTGACTTTCTTTTCTGTGGGCTGGGGAAGGCAAGAATAAATACGAAATTGCAAAACTAGATGTAATGTGCACAATGTGCCTTATTCTCAGGCTTTATGAAATAGCATTTAATTTAGTCCAGACACTGCAGTTAATTTTCTGAAATGTCAATACCACATGAAGGATAGGGTGAGCATATTAGAAGTTCTGAATGGGAGGTGTCTTACTAAAAGGTGGCATATTTGGACTGCTAGTAGTGGAGAAGCTCATAGTGTGTGCACTACTGAGTGTATAAAACACGTAATACACATCAAATTTCTGTTGGCATCTGAACTGCCAACTAGGTGTCATCAGCGCTTCTCTATATGATCAGGATTCTGTAAGTGTTAGTCATTTTTCTTGAACACAGTGAAAAAAATTTAATGATGTTGGAAAATCTCATCTTGTTCAGAAACATTTTTACTTTGTTAAGATCTGAAAAATTCAAGCCGTAGATCATGCATACTTGCTCAGGCTTTTCTTAGGAAAATTTACAAAAATAGAATAAAAATAAGCACCTGTTCAGCAAATACATCAGTAAAAGTATCTAAATTCCTTTGCTTGAGACTATTTTGAACAGACCTAGATACTTCAAATGAAGAAATATGAATGGTACTGGACATTCTAAGTTTTGCCCTTGGCCCTTTCTTCTGCATCTCCACCTTGGGTTTACACTGGCTTCATCTCTGACAATTTGCTCACTTATTCCATTTCTGTTATTTCCTAATTTTGTCTTCTGGCTGTTGCAAATCTAAGGTTTGGAAAACCATCCATAGTGTTTGATATTTTCTTACCTGGCAGCATATTTTTCAGCTTATAAGATTCAAATACTGCAAAGGATTTTGGTTCTCTTGCCCTACACTCTAGCCAGCAATTTGAATAGAGTTTTTTTGAATTGAAACAGCAGGATAAAGGTTTGTGTAAAAGCATGTGCCAACCCCTCATCTAGCCTGGGGTTTTGAATACCTTCAGAGCTCCGGTCATTTGGCATCTTGATTTGTGGTTAGGGCCATTACAAGACAAACTCCATCTTGCAAAATGTGTTTCCACAATGCTGCAAATGGTAAATCTGCATGCCAGGTTTAAGCTTCTTATCAATTAATTGGACTTTGACGCACCTAAAATACTTGGACCCACCTGATGCTCCTTTTCTTTGGCTCTGCATGTTTAATTTCAGCCACCTGAATGTGCCTGCCATGCAAGATGCGGCACAGTTCCTGCTGGGAACCCATGACTTCAGCACCTTCCGCTCACTTAACTCTGAAACACCTTTTCAATCTCCGGTCAGAACTATCCTCCAGGCAGACATCCGACCCGCTTCTGGTTTCCTGTCCCACCACTATGAACACAGGTGAGAGCGTAGATACTCAGCTAAGGGGCTGCTCTGATCAGGTGCTGCTTGCTTTGTCTGAAAAGCTGCTTTCTAGCATTGCTTTGAGAACTGACCTTCCGTTTGCTGTGCATTGCCTTCACAGTCCTGTGATGGTGTCAGCAGGGTTCTGCCTAGTGACAGCTTGGAAAGCACATTTCTTTCCCTCTCCTCCCCAACATCCTCAGGGAGAAAGATGAGCAGGAATGAGGGCAGGGAAACTGGTCCAGTTGTTTGTACGTTAAAAGGCAGGATGTTATAAACTGGTGTATGGAATCTGGCACAGAGCAATTCCTGTGTGGTGCTTCCAGCATTTACACTCATTTTGGTTGCTAAAGACCAGCTCTGCCAGGCAATGGGATTTTTTTTTTTTTTTTCCCCCTGCTGCTATCCTAGCTATGCCTAAAGGCTGCAAATAGAAGAGAAAAAACCCCACCCAACACCTAGGTCACTGCTGTAGCTATGCAGATCCACTCAGTTCACACCAGTAACTCCTACTGTCTTCCCAGGGGATGTTGATGAAGGAAAGTCCAATATTCCCCAGTTATTACATAAACAAAAGATTGTTGAGTGTCAGGTTCTTTCAGGACCAGGTCTTGCAAGTATTGAAATTAAGTGGCTTGATATATTTTCTTTCTGCAGAAACTAAAGTTTCTTCCCAGAAAGATCATGGGTATTTATCATCTGAACATAGCTTTTGCTTTCATGCTGGCTTCTTTCACAGATACATGGCTGTTGTGTTTCAGCTTGAAAGAAGACCTTGCTGTTGTCTGTCTCCAAACCACATTTTCCTGCTTTCTGATTAGGAGAAAACCCTTTTCTCTGTAGTTTTCCCCAGCAACCCTCTGTTAGATTTGAGTACCTACTGAGCTGTCTGTAACAATCAGTGCCATGCTCCAAGCTTCTGTGGAGCCTCACTGCAGTTTGCAAATAGCCTGCTATTTCTTTCCCTGTGTCTTAGGACAGTGTGTTTTGCCAGCAGTAGTGTAAGATTAAAAAATGAAAGAGAGCTGCAGAAACAGAGAGAGATCTGTATGCTTTGAGTGACCATGGTCTTTCAGTTCCTCCCATCTTACCGGATTCCTGCTTTTCCTTCTCAGCATTGGTTCCTGTCAATACACAGCAACATTATAAAGAGCCACTCCGTTAGGTATGGCACTTCCACTGCTACTCTCCACTGTATAAGCACAAGGACATGGTCAGCTAGTGTCAGATGTAAACTCTTACTTCCCACTTTCCTGCAGCTAAGAAACACTGTCCCCAAGGGGAAAGGAATGCTGGAGAGGAAAATGGGTGCTTCCATGTGACTGTATTCCTGCTCTTTTATTGAATTGCCATTGTTGAATGGAGAGCTTGGCCTCCCTCTGTCAAGTGTGGTTATCCTTAGGGACACAAGTAACAGTGAGTGCTTCATCCACAAGATTTATCTTTTCCTTTATGATGAGGAGCATTGTAAGTGGTAGAGACCTGAGCTAACCTGAAAATAACCATTAACAGTCTTGTCTACATCACCTACAAGTGCATACGAGCCAGATGCCTTCCAAATCCAGGCCTACTATTGTCAGTTGACTGATCTCTGAGATTTAATATGGATCAGCTGGGCTTTTTTATGTCTTTGATTTTAATTTTAAAGAGGAATTTGTCATTTCTTGTATAATTTCTTGCATAAACCCATCCCACATGAGGCCAAAAACAGCTCACAAAAGAGAGAGTAAACCTAAAAACTGTATCAAAAGCATCAAGCTAGTTGCTGATGGAATGTTTTTGCTTTTGATGATGCATGCATCCAAACTTGGGTTTGATAGTGAGTCATTTTTATAATGTATCAATATTAATTGATTTAATGAATATGTAGACTGAAAGGGATGGCTTTGAGAAGCCTAGTTTCAATGCATTTAAGTGGCATTTAACTCTCTTAGAATACTTGTATTAACCACAACCATGAGTTTTCTCATCTAGAGAAAAAAGTTGTGGGGTTTGGGTGTTTGTGAAAGGCTAGATATTGTTGAAGGTTTTTTTGTCTATTTGGTAAAGTTTTTTTAATTACAGTGTCCTAGTTACTTTTAAGCTGTAAAACTCTTCAGATGGGAACAGTTGCAGTCATGGACCTCAGTGTTTGTTTGCCCATTCTGCAAATAAGATGGCAAATATGCCTGAAGTGCATGTGTATTTCTTCACTGCAATGGCAGAATGAACCGTTTCTGCAATGAAAGGGCTGGGATAGCAGGAAAAGCTTATAAATAGGTGTGTATGTTTTGGTTTTTTTTTTTTTAGCCTAATTTAAGGACGTTTATTTCTGTTTCAGAGGGAGGAATCCATAGAATGATAAACCATGGTCTCTTAGTCATATAATGCAGCTTTTCTTTCTCATTCTTTCCTTCCTTTCTGAACTTAAACTAATCTTTTGAATTGACCACTTGTCTGTTTTAAAAGGCTAACTGTTAAAATGATTCCTTCCATCAAACTCGGTTGCTCAGCAACAGTGGAAGTGGAATTGGTGTCCCATCCATACAAAATGCTTTTGAATGCTGAGGATGAGTTCAGAGACTTAGCCCCATCACTTATTCCTTGGGGGTGATTGCTCTATCACCTGTTTTCTAGCTGAATATGTATTATTCATTGCAAGGGGCTGGCTTCTGTTGCCGAGTGGAAAAAGACAGCTGGATTTTTTGCTGGTAAGCAACATTATCTGTGAGATTGACAAGAAAAACAAAGTTTCCCTCTTAAAGAAAAGTATCTTGTTCTCTTTCAAAGTCTACAAGATATTTTTCCTAAGTATCTTGATCAATCTTTTGTAGTTTAATGTATCTTGTCAAGACAACCAAGACAGAAAAATCCTGGCTAAAGAAGGTGCATGCAATTTGGTGAGAGGGGGATTTGTCCGTATTGAAAAAATTGTCTCATGCTTTGCTAAAGAGATGAGCTGAATTTTGACCTCTGTTCTGGGTATTGGCACATGTGTGTAGCCATGCACATGTCTGTATGCCGAACGCATCAAGCTGGTGGGGAGAACAGACAGTACGTAAGTGATAGAAACATTGTCATTCCCTGAGACAAAGAGGTGTACGGGGGCAGGAGCTGCCTTTGCATATGCCAACATACACGACAGGGCGGGCTAAAAGCAGTAATTTAGCTGTACATCCAGTGAGAAAACAGCTTGTGGCTGCTCCCTACAATGACTATTTCACGGTTTCTCTTCCTGCTAGCCCTGCCCTGATGCCCCATATGGGCCTGTGAATCACGTTGTCCCTGCTTCACCTTTTTTCTATGGCTCACAAGAGCTGTCTCCTCTCCCCGGGGATGGGCAGCCCCTTTCTTGATACTTGTGTGTTTCCAGCAAAATCAGCCTGTCCATCTGAACCCTCCAGACAATATGTTGCAGTTGTGCTTTTCTCACAGCTGATTCAAATCTCTATAGCCCTTTGAGACCCAGTTACTGGGCTCATTGCAAGGGAGGAGAGGAGAGGGTTTGCATGTAAATATCTGCTTTTTTGGATTCTGCAAGGTAATTTTTGTCTCTTTTGCTGTAGGAATGCTATGGGATATAAAGAGCACTTAAACTGTTAGTGAGTTTATTTTTTATTGTTATTTTATTGTTACTTTTATCAAAGTGACTTCTCAGAGTGGTTGGTAGCATGGATTGGGGATGCAAGTACTGAAGTGAAAACTCGCTCATTTTTCTGTTCTGTTAGCATATCTGATGTATGATACACGTGTGTGTGTGTGTGTATGTTTTTATATATAGCTAATATGCATATCAGATTTCTTTTTTTTTATTTGTAGGAAGGAAATGTGCATACAGGTTCTTCCCTGCAGGACTGTTCCTGAATGGAACAAACCCTGAATGGGTTTGCATTGGGTTTTAGTGTCAGACCTGGTACTGGAACATCAGCAAAACACAAAAATATTTAGAAAACAACCTGTAAAGATTTAGCAGAGGATGCGAGCGTCAGTGAAGTGTTGGAATAGTTAGCCTCAGTAGAGTTCTTATAAGGAATATACTATAAAACTTTCTGGAAAATGGTATCTATGTGAACAGACAGATTTGGTGAGGGGAGAGGATGTCTTTTTGCATAGTAACATCTATGCTTCCATCCCCAAGTACTCATCTGCCGTTTCCTGCTCTGCTCCCTCTTAGCTTGGAGTGCTTTGTTGTTTGCTATTGCCTATGTTCTGATGCTGCAGCTGGGTTCCTCAGGCACATCTGTGTCCTGACTTGCTTGTCCTGTGTCCTTGCATGTGGATGTTGCAGTAAGCATTGCTGAATGTTGAAATTAATTCTGCAAAGCCTGTAAGGACCACGTGACTCTCTCAAGCCAGCTCCAAATGAGAAAGTAGAGCTGCTTTGCTATGGTTGGTTGTTTCTTCCATTCTCCAGAAGACATTGAACTGCATTCCTCAAATCAGTAGTATCTTAGCAGACTGCTAAGTTGCACTTTGGTTTATGTTGCCTTTTCCCTTTTGTTTGAATGATTGTATACTTAGGTGTAAGGCAGCAGGAAGATCAAGCCCCATAAAACTAGGTACATACAAAACAGGCAGGAATTGTTTCACCTCAGTAAATGTCTGGTGTTCAAAAGCTCATGATGCTGTTTCAGGTTAATTGGGGTCTGTGCTTAATCATTCCACTTGCATTCACCTGTGATTTATACGGCTCTTGTGGGTAGAAGAGCCATTTAAAATGTGATTTTGTTTTTTTTTTTTTTTTTTTTTTTTTGTAATGCCTTTTTTGTTATTTTCTTTAGGGGACTGGAGTTTTGGGAGTTGAAGTTCAGGAGCAGATCATTTCTTTACCGACAGGTACTGTTTGATGCTGTATTCAGGACACACTTTGCCTCCAAGAACTAAAGTGTTGCTATCGCTGTAACTATTGATCAGTTTAGCAACATTGCATCCCTATGTAGTGCCATCTTTGTTGCAGAGCTGGTGTTGTAGCTGCGTGGCACACATAGGGACCTAGCATCAGAGAGGTGAGGTTCTGTATTCTTTTTTTGATCCAGTAGAACCAGAATTTCTTTAAGTTTCTGTCTAAAATGAATGTCCAAAGTCATAGAATCATGTGGGAGGATGGAAAGTTTTGTTTTCCACAATCTTTGTCCTTGCAGTCTGAGTGGTAAAAACCAACAGACATATGTTCTTGCTCTGCTGAATGGCACTGGGCCCAGCAAAGACTGCCTGGAATTTTACTTTCTGGCTTTGGAGCATGAAGCAATTCTCAGTGTTGCACAAAGGAGAGATGGGAAGACCTGATGCAGCTATGCAGGCAGGATCTTTCCCTCTGCCATGCTGTCTAGTCTCCAGTGGGTTTTCTTTGAAATAACTCCAGTGGGGTTTTTGCTGCTATCCTCAGGGGAGACAGCGCTCTCCTCTACTGAATGGATCACCTCATTAGGAAAGAGTTGGCTGTTCTCAGTCTGCCTATCCTGGCAATGGTCACACTCTGGAGACAGAGAATAGGCAAGAGAGGGCTTGTTTTTTGGAGGAGAGAAGGGGTGTTTTGTGGGAACAGCAAGCAGCTATTTTTTATTCTGTTTTGACAAACCAAATTTGTTTTTTATCCTGTGCCAAGTAACGCTCTGTAAGCTCTGACCATGGGTGTCTGGATATAAGCAAGGGAAGAACAACAGCATGCTTGAGGAGGGCTTGATATACAGCAGGGCTTTGCTTCATCAGATGCTCTTGTGACATGGAGAAAATGCTGGTAACCCATTTAGTGCATTAGAACGGAAATGCTACTTACTGACATTGTGCAGAGAGAAGAGTTACCTGTTAATACTCAGCTCAGCCTAATGCCGTCTGTGAACCTTGTTCGCAGCAGCTGCCTTACAGTGAGCTGGCAGGCTATCATGAAGCAGGAACAGGCTGTACATGCTGAACTTGCACTCTCCTGCCGGAACATCTGCTTCTGCCCTCCATCATAAAGAGGAGACTAGACTAGATGGACCTCTGATCTCACCTCGTATAGCTGCTAGGATAAGTTTTGACATCTGGATGTTTTTATTAGAGAAAAGGGTTAAACAGCCCCAGAAACTGAATATATCTTTGCTGAATAGCATGCAGAAGTGGGGAGACACCAAGCACATGGATATTTCAGATGCACACCATTTGTCTGCATTTACACTAGCTAACTCCAAGTGTGGAGACATCAAAGCTAAAATCATGGCATACAATGACCTCTAGTGAGGGATGGATAAAATAACATATGCCTATGATCTGTGCTTCTTCTCTGTGCCATCTGCGTAAAGGCAGGCTCTTGGCACTCCACGGTGCAGTTTAGGATCAGAGCACATAATAGGGAGAGACGGTGTTTGCCTTTGGATAAATACATCTTGGCTTGTTGGGCCTTTCTCCTTACAGTGATAAACATGATCAGGTTGCTGAGTGGACTTTGGTTTATTCTTTTGTAAATATTAATGGATCAGAAACTTAGACCGATGCTTCATTACAGCAGTACATTTAAGTTCTTGGAGAGCTCAGTATGCTTTGAAGGGTCATTAATAGAATGAATGTTTGTTTGGGCCAAGTGACTGATCACGCCTGCGCAAGTGGGGATGTGTTCTGCCAGCGGCGTGAGGGTGTGAATCAGACAGGACAACATCTGCTTGACCAGTTTCCCCCATGCTGTTCCCTGTAAAATTTGAGACTGGAGGACAGTTTGTCTAGTGTGGACTGAGAAAAGTGACTAGGAAATGGTGAAAGTGTGGTGGCTTGGGATCAGCCCATGGCAAGGGGTGAGTTTCAGTGTGGCTTCTCTGTTAAATAAGACTTGGGCTCAGTGAATCTGTGGCATGTTCCCTTAGGCAGTGTCAGCTCTCCTGTAGGAGAGTACAGGCAAGCCCAAGAAGGTCCTGGCAGCTTCTGGGAGGGGGCTCAGCTCTTGCCTAGCTGACCACCACCATGCTGGTTAAGTTCATTGCATTGTGCTGTTTCTTTCCCTTCAGAGAGGCATTTGTCATTACGGGACTATCCATACAAGCCTGTTTGCTCCAGTGGCACTGGGACAGGGCTTAACTTTCCCTGAGCTTTATCTCTTGCTGAACGAAAGCCTGAAAAGGACTGCCCATCTCTCCTTTGGTCCTTTGTTTCCCTGAACCATCCCCAGATGCTTCTTGCACAAGCTTTCTTGATGCCCACAGGAAGTAGGTATACTAGTATACTAGTCTGGATAAAAGTCTCTCTAGGAGTGCCTTGCTGAGAGTACTTTCGGTACAAGTTGAGGGGCTCTTACTTGTTCGGTTATTCCTTGACAGCAGCTTCATGAGGCTGTCTCGATGTAAGAAGTACCAGGAGGATTAGCGGTCAGTAATCTGCCTTCAGAAGGGTGCCTTCAGCTCATGAAAGGAGTGGAGAGAGATGTAGGCACCACACAGGGATGTAACAGCTAGCTAGTCATAGGGAACTAGCATTTGGTGTGCAGGTAGCATTGGCAGATACAAGTCTTGGCCCTCCTGGAACAGCATGTCTTCTAGGGATATAGAAGGAAAAAGGTGGTTTTTAGCCAAGAGGATGATGAAGTGAGGGGGTGTTTACGCAGGAGGTGAGCACTGTGGTGTGACATTTGTGCTAGCCCACTAGGTTTGGAATTGCTGAGTGTGGAGGGAGGGAAGGGAAGTTGTGACATGCAGAGGTGTTTGAAATACCAGTTTGCTGCACCTGGGGGGATGTTGTCTGGTGGGCTGTCCTACTTGGGGTTTTTTTTCCTCTTTTGGGGCTTTCTGGGAGAGGAGCAAGCCCCTACGTTGCCCCCACCTGGAATCAGTGTTGCTTACGTATTAGCAACCACCTGTGAGCTCACCTCTCCCAGCAAGCATGTGAGCTTCCTGCCACAAGCAGATGTGTGGGTGCTGCTGTTGTTTCTGAAATAGAAACCATCCTCTGCTCAGCTTTCTTCCCGCATGTGATGAGAACAAGCCTTGCTCCACGGCAGTGCTATGTAGCTGGAGGTCATTGTGTTACAGGTCCTCATCTCATTCTTACTTGTGTCTTCAGTTGTGGGGAGGGAAGACTTAAAAGAGGTGGGGTAATTTTGCTGGGTCTTTTACCTTCCCTACCACCAGCTTTGGTCACTAGAAGATGCTGTGCCACTGCATGTTGTAGACAAGCTTAGCTGCTGCATGTTATCATGTCACCCCCAATCAGTGCAGAACCTAGGCAGCCCATGCAATCCCTGCTCAAAGGGGAAAGAACATCTTTCCTCTGCAGACTGGGGTGACTGTGACTGCTGGGGCATGCTCAGGGACTAAGGGGTATGATCTTTCCGATAATAAATAAAGCGAGGACTGAAAATGCTCCCTGGAGTTATGTGATACCAAAGGCGTAAAAGGGGCAGGCAGGACTGGCTTGAACTCTGATGGGTCAATCTGGGCCATGACTTGGGGTACTTCAGTGGTACCTAAAACAAGGGTCAGAGCTTCTTTAGGTGGGGAAATGCTTGCTTCTTTCTTAACAACCGGCTGGTCTAGGAGCAAAGTGCATGGCACTAGAAACAACTGATAGTACTAGGAAAACAGTAGAGGAACACCAGAAATCAGGCTTTCTGGGAACTATGGGTTTAGTAATAATGATGTACCTATATTCAGGAGCAGGTTCACATTAAGAAATCATGGTGATCTAGTTCTTTCCTGAGTGACAGGCACTGAACTCTCTGATGAGGTTTCTAGCTTGACTTGCCATCAGTACTAACTGTGGGCTGTTACACAGCACAATATTGCTGATAGCACGAGTGCAGGACTTGGGACAGAATTTCCTAATCCCTTTAAGTTTTACAAGGACAGCTCCTAAGCTGTGTTCTCTCTTTTTCCAGGTCCGAAGAATGGTTGGGGCTCTAGTTGCAGTTGGCCAGGGAAAGTTAACACCTCATCATATAAAGGAGTTACTGGAGATAAAAGATTCACGGGCTTTTCCACCAAATGCTATGGCACCACCATCTGGACTCTTTCTAAAATCAGTGGAATATAATGAAGCAGGTAGGTGAATGCAGGGAATTGCATTCTTTTTTGTAGGAGTCGGTTCTAATACTGAAGGGAGCAGTAACACCTTTACGTGCCGCCTGACCTGTGGCTCACAGCTTTGTTCATTGACACCCACGTCATAGTGAATGCCCCGGACTGTAGAGCTGTTTACAGCAGTTGCTATGGGAAAATTTGTCTGTTTTTTTCCTGGTAGATTTCCTACTTTTACTTGCAGGCTAGTAAAAGAGAAGTTGTGTTGACAATGACTTTGAGATACCACGTGAATGATCCTTTAAATTCTCATAAATTCTTCATCTGCCCTGACAATGTATAAAGACCAAATCTGTGGTATCTAAGCGCTTACAGTTCCGGTTCTGTTCACTCACTTCTCCCTTGCTGTTTATGAGAGGATTGTACAGACTGGAGGACAGAGGGCAGATCACCCTTTTGCTTATATGGTGGTTCTCTTAATTTAACAGCATCTGATCTAAACTGTTTAAGTTTTTTTTTTTTTCACTGGGGGGGGGGGAGGCAGGGGCAAATTTGCAGAAGATAGCAAATGGATGTCATGGAAGTTTGACATCCCTGCTAGGGATAGCAGGTATTTAAAGCTGCAAGGATTAATCTGTCTCTGCTTAATTGAGTCCCCATGAAATGTGGATAGGGCAATGAAGCTGGTGAAGGGTCTAGAGCACAAGTCTTACAAGGAGTGGGTGAGGGAACTGGGGTTTTTCAGTCTGGAGAAGAGGAGGCTGAGGGGAGACCTTATCGCTCTCTACAACTACCTGGAAGGGGGTTGTGGTGAAGTAGATGTTGGTCTCTTCTTCCAAGTAACTACTGACAGAATGAGAGGAAATGGCCTCAGGTTGCGCCAGGGGATGTTTAGATTGGATATTAGGAAAAATTTCCTCGCCGAGTGGTCAAACATTGGAACAGGCTGCCCAGGGAGGTGGTAGAGTCACGATCACTGGAAGTATTCAAAAAATGTGTAGATGTGGCACTTCAGGACACGGTTTAGTGGGCATAGTGGTGTTGGGTTGATGGTTGGACTTGATGATCTTACAGGTCTTTTCCAACCTTAATGTGATGCAAAGGACTTTCCACCACAAAGGACTTCCACCACATTGCAGACCATTTCCAGGCTGCCTTGTCTCAGTCAAATGCCAGACCTCCTACAGGTGGGCTCCCTCCTGCAGCAGCGGTGCACACATTGGGGTTTAAATAAAACAGAACGGAAAGGGAAGCAACAAAGAGCAGAGCAAGGAGCTTGAATGTAGTTTCTGGCCTTGAAAAGGCAACTGCTGCTTGCTGGGTTTGGCCCTCTCCAGTGGTGCTTTTCCTACTAGTGCTGGCTGTGGAGCTATCTGTGCCACAGGGGAGGGAGCCCAGGTGGGAAATGAAGACCACAGATCTTAAGTGCTTTCAGGTGGTTTCAGTGCCATCTTTTTCCCTAAAGCAATGTTTCTTTTTCCCCTCAGATTTGGACACTACAGTTGCCACAGGAGAATAGCAGCTCTATGAGATACAACCATGTCTGAAAGGACTGTTGTTGTGGATTTGTGATGGAGGTTTGCCAAGCGCTCTTTAAACAATATACAGTCTTGTCTCAATAAAAAAATCATTGACTGTGACTGTAGGCATCTTCCTATCATTTGTTCTTGCCCTCTGAGATTGCCAAGAGGAAAGGAAGAACAACTCCATGCTAC